GTAGTTACTTGTGAGTGTGTGTGTGTGTGTGTGTGTGTGTGTGTGGACAGCACAAAGCACCCTCCTCCTATTTTCCCTTCACTAAGTTGGCCTGACTAGTTGTGCTTAGGGACGCGTCTCTCTGGACGATGGCGTCCTCTGAGCGATCGTAGTGAATCCGAACAAACCCGGGGACAGACGAAGCTCGTGCACGCAGCAGCAGGAAGGTTTACAGTGGAGCGGCTTCTGTTTCAGCACCACGGACAGCGACACGCCCTTTTCTTTGATACAAAAACATTTTGAAAAGCTAACTTAGTTTGAAACCTTCTCCTAAGGAGACAGATTTATTGTTTACTCCTGGTTTCTCCTTTAGGAGGCTGTTTTAAATTTGCCATTTTCACACCCTCACATCCTGCTCCGCTCACAGCGCCGATGCTTCGTTTCCACATTGTTGTTTCGACTCATAACTGGAAGATCATGAATGGTTTCTAGTTCATTTCTAGCACTTAGTACTCTCGTGATGCTGCAGTACGAGCCACCCAGCAGTCATTACAATGCATCTCTTGTAAATGAAACAGTTGTGTAATTATGCTGTTGGCTCCTTGGGGCTCTGGCATTATGTTTAGCTGCTTTTACTTTATTACCGCAGTCTTGAATTAATGAACACGGCTACAGCAGCGACAACAATTACAACAACTGGAGGAGCGGGCGATAATCGAGGGGATGAATGTGAAGCTACGCTCGCCGAGCGGTTGAGGTCATCTTTCTGTGGCTGCGCGCGGATAGATGATGATGGCAATAAACATTTGACTTGTGGCACTGAAGTAATTAAGCCTGTCAAACCATGCAGAAAATGATGATTTCTGTCATGATGCATCACCATTAGAGCTGTTGTTCCTGCTAATCGTCTTGTTCATCTAATGAATCTGTGCTAGATTTATTCCAAAACGGCTAAATCAACAGATCTGTCCACGCAGACCAGCAACGGGCGTAGATCACCGGCTTTTACAGAAGCTTTGCAAGTTTGACACAAACCTCTGAAATCAGACTTGGCAAAGTTTTGTATTGAGTTGTTAGTTTTCCTTCCTTGGAGCTTCCAGCTAGTTTGCTGCTCAGCCTCAACCTGTTCCAGTCTTCCTCCCATCCATCCTGCACATCTGCTGCGCTGAAAACTCCCACTGTTTCATTGCCTTAGAGGAAGCTACTGTGGTGCATGAAGGAGACGGGAGACAGCAGGAGCAGGAGAGTTAATGTGAGGAAGTGTGAGGGACGAGAGGGGAAGAGCATGCAGGTAAATCTGAGGATTGGAGGGAGGAGAGGAGGACACAACAGCACGGATGATATTGGTTGGAAAAGAAAAACAGACGAAGAGGTAATTGGACAGGATTGGAGGAGAAACAAAAGGTTGAGGGACACACACAGAAAGCCGGAGCTGATGAGTAATTATTGATTAGGAGGAAGTGGATCTCTGCAGCAGGAGGAGAATACACAGCTTGTTTCATCCCTCTGCTGATGTGAGAGGTGACAGAAATGGTGCAGGTGTTTCTGCTTTCTGCCAAGCAATTAAACACAAATGCTGCAAATGAGATCTAGTTGATCCAAAGAACATCCCTCATGTCTCGGCCCGTGATGTGACCCGCCGGCGCCGCCGGCTTCCATTAAAGCAAAACGTATTTAGAGCATTTTTAGAAGAGGCTCATGCATATCAAATACTCACTGTGTCGTTTATTTCATTAGCAGTTATTTTTAAATTCGGTGTAACTTAACAGGTTCTAATAAATACATCCGCTGTCTTGAGCTTCTGCTGCTGGATGGAGCTGGGCGATCAAAAAGACAAGCAGCCGGTAGGATCAGCGCTCAGCAGCTCAGGTCGGACCCTTAAACAAATCCTTTTTCTTGCTTTATTTGGAGAACCAAAAGGCTTTATGTTGTAAATAATGTGAGTCGGCAGGCAGAGGTTAATGTGCTGCGTAGAAAACCATCAGTCTCATTACCAGACGATCCTTTGTGAATATTAGCTTTAGAATCAGAAAGCTGCTGAAAGCCGCCCCGCTTTACTACAGGACCCAGAGAATATTCAGAAGAAACCAGATTTGGGTATTTTTTCGGAGGCATTGTTGAGCACATGAGCATTCAGCTCAGCGTTCATAAAGGCCTCGGGTCAGATCGGGCCTGCAGCGCCTGAAGTTACACAAGGAGCACATCTAAAACGCTTCACACTGAGTGCATGAAAGACCTTTCTGTCACTACGAGTTTTAGAAAAGAAAGCTGGAGGCGCTGCTCCCAGCTCGCTGCCTTCACAATAAGAGCTTTTAAAGCTGCTTTTGGCCCATAACAACAGATTTTACATTTTAAACACAAAAATCTCAGAGCTTCTCAAAAACGCCATTACTGTGTCGTCTTAAAGGAAAAACAAAAGAAGACCTACGCAGATATTAGAGGATGAGTGTGTTTGGGTTTCATGAAAATGCTGCATTGTTGCACGTTTTAAGCGTTTTGTTGGAAATCAGCAGCTCCTCTCTGTCGTTTTCTGATAAACTAGTTTTATTTTTTCAGGGTTTTTTGCTTCAGTTTGAACTAAAAGGTTTTGGATTCGTAGCAAAAAGTTGAAATCATGTTGCTGAGGTGATAAACAGGTAGTGAAGGAAACAGCTGACAGGTACGTTTCCACGTAAAGAAATCAGCTGATCTGCCGGCTGGTACTGGCTCTAGGTCCAGAGGTTTGGGACCTCTAGTTTAAAATAGTAACATTAATCTGAAGATACACTCTCTGGCAGGGATGTGTATTTTAGAAATTCTGGCAATACGATACATATCACGATACAGGGGAGACGATACGATATATCACGATATATTGCGATACATTCAGTCAGACATTACAATTTTTTTTACTGAATTTATTACAAGAATGTTCAATAAACAGTCCAAACTGATACGTAACATGTTTAACATGAGGTATCTGAACCATGATGGCGGGATTTACATTTCAATGGTGGAAACAAAACCCGTTGCACACTGCTGCCAACTAGCGGGTGGCGATTGAATTGCACAAAATGAAAATACACACATGTTTGCATGTATATTCTTTCAAGAATTAGATACACGGCTTTTGAATATCGATGTAATAATTGCAGGAAAAAATCACGATATATTGCCATATCGATATTTCCGATACACGGCTTTTGAATATCGAGATAATATTGCTGGAAAAAAATCACGATATATTGCCATATCGATATTTCCTTACATCCCTACTCCCTGGTCACTTTAACACGTGTAACTTTTATATTTTTGATTAAATAGCATTTAATTACTTCCTAGCACAAGTATGCAATCGGCCAATCAGACGGCAGCAGCATAAGAAGGATGTAAATGTCTTTAAATGTCATGTGGCTTTTGGGAGCAGTCTGATCTGCTGGGACTTCAACCCACAACCATCTCTAGTGTCAGAGGTCAGACTGGTTTCTACTATGATCAGCAGAACCCTACCAGCAGCTCCAGATGGACTTCAGCTGCAAAGACCACACCAGGTGTCTCTCCTGTAAGCTAAGATCAGGAACCTGAGGCTCCAATTCCTACAGGATCACTAGAACTCGATCAGAAGAGACTGGAAAACCTTTTCCTTGTCTGATGAGTCTGGATTTCAGCTCCATCCTAACCCCGACCCATCTGCTGATGCTACTTCCAGCAGGATCATGCACCATTTCACAAAGCTCAGATCTAATTTACTGGACTCCCGCGGCCTCCACAGCAGGGGTGGAGCTATCGGTGGGCCTGGGTGGGCACAGGCCCACCCAGTTTGACAGAGTGCCCACTCACCAGGGGCAGGGTGAAGCAGTAGCTTGGTGTTGCTATAGCAACACCAAGATGTGGCCAATCAAGCAACTGCTTAGCAACCCCAGTTATGTTTGTAACAACATTTACAACATAAAAATTATTACTTTAATGAATGTGCACTTTTTTCACTGTGCAATAAAAATACTTTAACTTTTGTATCTGGTATTAATTTTAATCATATTAATCATATTTGTTGAACAAAGAGGGCTAATTAATCAGGCACAAATAACTTAAATTCAAGCTCTAAGAGCAGATAAAAACGAACAAGAACGCCATCGAAAAGGGCTAAACAAAAAGATTTAACAAAAATAACTATTTTATCAAAACACAGGAAAGTCAAAGATCTAAATCGTTTCTATATAAACCGTTTGGGAGCGAGATCCGAGGACAGAGGAGAGACAAGTCCAGGGCTGTCAAACGTTTGTAACTGTCCTATGTTCCCTCCTACCCCTCAAATGTAAAATGTGTGTATGAACAGTCAAAAATCCTGATTTTTGAAACATGCGGTGACCTCTGGCAAGCTGCGGTCTTTGGATCTTCAGCTCTTAGCTGACAGCCTGCAGCTAGGACGCTGAGACGAGCACGGCAGCACGCCTGGCTGAGACTAGTACCTGTCCAAGGTCCTGAAAGTTCACACGAGAGAGTGTGCAGGTCTTGGCCCAGAGCGGGAGTCCAGCGTCTGCAACATTCCTTAAAATTGAAATTTGAGATCCATGGAATAAGTATCTAATATATAATCTTCTATCACAGGATTGTTTGTGGCTTGAGAGATTTTATTCAAACATGTAATTTTGACGGGATATGAGCTTTGAAATTAATTAGGCCCATCCAGATTGTTCTAGGCCCACCCATCTGCTATGTTCTGGCTCCGCCACTGCTCCACAGTCACCAGATCTCAGTCTGGTCCACAAGCTTTGGGGTGTGATGGAATGGGAAGTTGTCATCATGGATGGAGCTGATGCTGTCAGGACGGTCAGAGCCTCTGAGGACCAGAACCTCTGTAGAAGGTGTACAAAGCCTTGATGGAGATACCGATAATTCAGATGTTTACGAGTGAAAAGGGAGGTGCCAGACAGGTGTACGTAACGACGCGGCCCAGCTGAATGTGACAATTTACTTCTTTATATTTCATCTGAATGTTTAATGTCAAAATGTTAAAGTAGATTAGCACCAATTTAAAAGTA